AAGGTTGAAAGGAAATCAAGACTAGAATCTAGATAATATGTTTAGATGGTGGTTAAAGAGTGTCTAAGGTTGAAAGGAAATCAAGACTGTGAATCTAGATAATATGTTTAGATGGTGGTTAAAGAGTGCCTAAGGTTGAAAGGAAATCAAGACTGTGAATCTAGATAATATGTTTAGATGGTGGTTAAAGAGTGTCTAAGGTTGAAAGGAAATCAAGACTGTGAATCTAGATAATATGTTTAGATGGTGGTTAAAGAGTGTCTAAGGTTGAAAGGAAATCAAGACTATGAATCTAGATAATATGTTTTGATGGTGGTTAAAGAGTGTCTAAGGTTGAAAGGAAATCAAGACTGTGAATCTAGATAATATGTTTAGATGGTGGTTAGAGAGTGTCCACGTAAAACGTGCAGTAATCTTAGAAGGAACAAAAACACGGAGTTCATTTAAAGTTATAAGGTCAGGGATGTAAGCAGAAAGAAGCGATGATGTTCAGGTTTGGAGAACTTTTCGTTTCCTATTGGTTTTGTTATTTTGTAATTCAATCATTAAAGACATGCCTCCCAGTGGCTCAGTGGTAAGCTGGAGAACTATAGCTATTATAACGGTAAAATTGATGGTTTGATATACACAGCGGATACATCGCAGATAGCCCGTTGTGCACTGATATAAAACAAACAGTTGAACATGTAAAATTTTCCTTGATGAAATATTGAAATTTAATTCTCAGAAGTCTATGGAAAATAGACTAAAACCAAGTTTACACCAAGAATGACATGTGGCTGAAAGCACATAAATGTTTTTTGGGATTCATGTAAAAGAAACGATTTTTGAAATGATAGTCATGTTCGTCTAAACGTTTGGTAGAACACGTATTTTACTTAGCGTTTGGAAATGTTAGTCTCTGTTTCTTTGTTTATGGCAAAGCTACGATGACAATCTGCAGCCGATACAAAGATTGAATTTCGGTTTCTCTTTACCATCGAATTGTGGGATTGATTTTCAAATTATAACTCCTTCATGGCACGTCACTTGACTGTCTACCTTTTGGTAGAATCCATTTTTTACCCAGCGTGTGGAAGTGTTAGTCATATGCTCGTCTATGTTTTGGTCTAATCTATCTTAAGTCTAAAAAACTTGCTTCAGCTTTTCGTTAGGTGTTTGTTCATTGTTAAACATAAAACTACACAATGAGTTATCGGTGCTCTGGTCGCCACTGGTATCGAAACTCGTTTTTTAGCGTTATGAGTGCTCAGACTTACCGCTGAGCCACTGGTAGTTTTCATTAAGTGTGCTACTACCTATGTAAGATACCCAGAGAATAGAACTTTCAGTTTGTAATTATTTGCGATCTTTATACTGACAACTAGCAACTTCATGAAGGTTTAATTATCGCGAAGTTTTCGGTAATATTATTTTGAATCAAACTTGTTTCCCTGGAGATCTCCCTCTTTCTTACTTTATATAAATATTTATCGTTGTGCAAATAATTCATTTGCAGTTGTTATGTGTTACCTTGAGTTATATATTATCAGTTCATTCAAAAGATCATCTTTAATTAGGATACTCTTGTTAGAAGTTCCACGTTTCTACGACCTTCAGTTATATATACTTGTAATAGTTTCTAAAAGCTAATTCAGCTTTGGATGAATGTTATACTCACCGTGAAACGAATAAGTTTCAGTTTATATTTGCGAGAGGTGAAGTTCGAGGAAAACAATATGTATATCAGGAACATTTGTTTTAAATTTCAACTTGTTATTCTTGTGATCTTTAAACTAACTAATAAACTTTCTAAACTGTTTCATTTGTGCTCCTAAGTTTCAGCCCCCGCGGTTTTTAGTGTTCATCCAAACTTCTTTCCCTCGTAGATCTCCCTCTTTCCCTGGTTGCCTCTACGACGACTCCAGACTCTAGTCCTTCCATCAGGTAACCATAGCAACCCTAATTAATGAAGTTATTTAACCTCATAAGAACTTGTGAATGTCTTGATTTAATCCGTTTAGCTCCAGTAAAAGACCCCATAGAGTATCATTTGATTTGCATCAAGTGAGTTTTGTTATTCAACATATTATTTATTACATCAGTACAAGTATGGGCCCTGATGATGTGTACCAGGAAAAAGGCTGCACAATCTCACAAAAACATGGTTTATATGTAGTACATAGAATATAAAAGGTTTGTCTTAAGAACTATTCGGCATTGCTGGTGAACAGCGGATCTTATTTTATAACACTTAACGAAGATACTTTTTAGAAAGTACTGTTTTACTGAATTAGCTCGTTTCACATAGCGGAATATCTACCCCGAAACGATAATATTTTTAAGGGTTATTTTATACCCCTTCTTTTCAGTTTCAATGGAAAATGTAAATAGTTTTTATTCTAAAACGTATTTAAATGAAGAATTTCCAGGTTATTTAGACAGTTCAATATTTCATATTATCAGAATGCAACTTACGATTTTTAAGCTCTTCAAGACCAAGTCTTCTTAATGTTATTTCACAATTCATTAATTTTTTCAATCAAACTTCTTGCAGAAAGTGAACATATTAGCATTTTATTGTAGTCAGTAATGATTAATGATCATTCTATTCATGCCACTTTTTCTTCTCAGTTGTTCAGTATATGTTGTTTTACACCAAATTCGTGCTAAACTCAACCCAATGTTCTGAAAGTTACAACGTTGCAGCTCTTTCAAAACACATGTCTGTTCCTTTCACAATGGCCTTCATGGAAAGTTAAACATTAGTTTTAAGATGTAATATAGTTCACAGTGAGCAAGCAACTACTCTTGTGACCATTTAGGTAAAAGATTCGTGAGGCAACGATCTTAATTTGATGATGAACAACGCCATCACTAGCCGTTCATCTGATTATAAGCCAATTTCTACAGTATATCTACAGATACTTTAACTCAAGATAACAGATAAAAGATGTAAAGGAACTATTTGTACAACCAAAAACATTTCTAAGAAGGAAAATAAATTAAGATTAAAACGTAATAAAACAACGAAGCAAATATGACACAGGACCGAAAAAAAAACTAAATATATATACACATATATATATGTACTTAATCAATTAGAAAAATATGAAACACGTTTGAATCATCAGAAGTGGAGTTGTTATGTAAAGTAGTAAGATTTAATGCTTTATTTCTTATTTTCTTATTAAGATATAAATGCTTATAGTTTTTGCAAATGACTCCTTTAAATTTGTTGGGTGTTATCTTGAGTTATATTTGTTGAAGATTGAATGAGTATGTTCCGAAATGTCAAATAAACATTAGGCCCGGCATGGCCAGGTGGTTAGGACGCTCGACTCGCAATCTGCGAGTCGTGGGTTCGCTTCCACGTCCCACC